AACATGATCGATTTTTGTTTCTTCTTCCATTGCGGGGTCAACCTTGTTGCACAACACTAGGATGTCTTCCGCGAACCTGATTGCTGGTTCATTCCAGTGTTGCATTCTGTTGAGCTTCATTCTTAGTTCTTCTTTATTGGCGTCCAGAGAAAAATCTTGAATGAGGCGGATTTTAATATTTTCCCAGCTCGTGAAACTCGCTTTGTGTAAATTCAACCAGGTTTTAGCGCTTCCCGTCATGTTCATGGCGGCATAACGGGCAATTATGTAGTCTGCCCAATGATAGAGGAAACCAATCTCTTCGAGGGATTCTATCCATGGGCGAGGGTCTTCTGTTCCATCATACTTGGGGATGTCGATGTTGGGATTCAGGACAACTGGGTCGGAACTAGCATCTCCACCAATTGTTGCACCAAGTTGCGGCTTGGCAGACTCTTCAGCCTTGATTCTCTCCTGTGCTGGGTCTTGCATCTTACCAGAGCGTGTTTCAACCATCCTACAACTTTATAAAAGGGAATAACGAGATAAGTCTTCTTTAAGTAGCCTCCAGAATCCTTTATTTATTTTCTCACATCAAAGAGAGCAGTGAAGTCACACGTGTACCTAAATACAAATGATGATAATCTGTTTTAAATAAATATCACAGAATATTAAAATAAATAAATATATAATTTAAATTTCAAATATATTAAAAATAATATAAGAAATACGCCATTAATCATGATGTAACAATATCAACTTTATTTTATATATAAAAATAGATTTATTCAGATTTTTTAAAAATAATTTTTCAAACAATTTCTAGCATTCGTCTTCAGGGATGCACCTTCCATGCTTGTTGTAGCGGTAGCCTTCTTTGCAGATGCAACCATTTATCCGGCATTCCATAGTGCAGAAATTTCGCCCACATGTACGGCACATCTTGTTAGGGGCACAATCCATTTGGACTTCGTTCTCATCCGCGCAATCTATAACACCATCACATGTGTTATCATAATAATAGGATATCTATATATATATATCACAGAGCTCTACTAGTTCTATAGTATCCATTCAAATTTACACATCAAGACATTTATCATGAAGCTTCAGAGACATCCCTAACTCATGCATTTTATTCATTTTAAATTATTTATTTCAATTGAAAGCGCTTTGTCTCCCTGGGGACACTTGCGCTATCATACATGTATGCATCTACATTTGTCTATACTTATGAAGTTAGTTGTAGAATCCATCAAGCCATTAGGTGGGAATATATAAGACTCTACTAAATACGAAATACAATAAGTTTTATTCTAAATATAGAGCAATCCAGCGTTTTGGTTACAAAGTTTAAAACCCTATAGTAGAAGAATCGAAAATAAGACTTAGAAGAGAAGAAACAGTCGGAGATTATTAAAGGAGAAAATAAGACTATTGAATCAAACAAGCCTCAATAATTCAGAAAAATTCCAAATGCTTACAGATGGATTACCATTAGAATAGACGATTGATCCATCGAAATATTGGATGAATGAAACTTTTTAAATCCAAAATAAGCCTCATTTTAGATAAGTTTTATATAAAGTTTTTTTCCATCCACTGAAGCATTGTGTCACGTTAGTTTATTTTCATCCTAACGAGAACAAATTTGTTGTTCATATCTCGCTCTGAATATTTATTTTACTCGCTTATATGTTTTTAAAATGAAATCTACATATAGAAAGATAGATTATCCTCAATGTATTTTACTTAATCTAAATTCTTTTGATATTTCATTGGAAGTTTATCAATTCATTCGGCAAGGACAAATAATTCTATGAAGAATATATATTTGACATACAATTTGTGATGTGTGCTGGTATAATGAATATTCTTATTTACAAAATGGATCTTAGTTTTAAAATATAAAATAATTAGCTTTTTAGGTTGATTTTACTTCCTATGTAAAATTTATATTTGGTATATTTTTACCTAGTTTTTTTTATAATTTTAAAATTAAATTAAAGATAATATAGCAACCTATTTCCATTTCTAAATATTCAGTTTTCAACAAGTACCTTTTATTGTATATTCTAGCACAAAATCTTGGAGACTGAAGTAATAATCAGTACAGTGAGTTGTGAGCTAAGATTTGAACTCGATACTTTCTGCTAGCCAATTATCTTCTGACCAATTTCCATGAAAGAGAAATGAGGATTAGAAATGACAAAGTAATATGTTCAAAAAAAGCTTTAGAATAGTATTTAAATAAGTTAGTAGAGAACTTACATTCAGCGTAGGCCAAGGCCACGACGAAGGAGAAAATGAAGAAGAAAGCAAGCTTTGCCATAGTAGCTGATGTTTGATGGTCTGGAACTTTGGTTTATATAGCCTGGAGACAGCAGGTGTACTGGAGATATTCTCAAGGGAGTCCTCGGTGCAACCACATGTCCAATCTTATCACCTCAATTACTATTGATAACTCAATAAGGTCTACCTTTCTGAATTTTTAATAGAGATGCTTAACTTCTTTGAATAATGCTATGTGTGAATGTAATGTGGTGATCTAGAACTATGTAAATGTTATGCCAAATGACCTGAAAAACCTATTACTCTTTAAAGCTTTTTAAAATATCAAAAGGGAAAATTCAGGTCTAGGCTGGTTAGTTTTATATATATTATAATCGTTAATAAAATACTTCTTATATTCGCGCAACTGAAAATTTCTGCTTGTTTGCGCCATCTGTCCAATTAAATATAAACACATCGTTGATTTTATTGTTTCGCCTCTGGTCCTTCACCAACCTTGGCTCCGTTGAATCACCTCTGCAGACAGCCCTGGCATTTCGACCTTACCACTGGTAGAAGGGATACGGGAGACTTACCAGAAGAGCGATTACTTCTGTTTTGGAAGAGGCAGTAACAACAGCAATCAATTTATAATTCATAGATTCTAATAAAAAAATCATTAACTTCCTAACAAATAACCTACAAAAGATCAATACAATTCATACATTTGATTTTGAAGATCTTTACTCTAACATACGTTTAGAAGACCTTAATAATAAAATAAACAGCTTAATAAATGAATTCATTAATGATAAAACATTCCATATTCAAATTATTCACAACAAATACAAAACATTTAAATTAGATAACAAAACAGCAAAAACATTACTTGAAACCTTCTTAAACTTTAATTATATTAATTTTAAAAACAAAATATACATTCAATCTAAAGGTTTTCCAATGGGAACTTCATCCAGTCCTCTACTAGCCAACTTATTACTTTTTTGGTATGAAAGAGAGTTCTTCCTACAGAATGATGTAAATTGGCATATGTTCCGCTATGTAGATGACATCATTATCTTGAATAACCCACAATTCAATAATGTCATTTACAAAATATACCCTAAATATTTGAAACTTAAAAATAATGAAAAGATAACTAATAACAAGGAGGTTAACTTTTTAGACTTAAATATAAACCTTGCAAACAAGTCAATTGGAACATATGACAAAAGAAATTGTTATAATTTTAAAAATATTAAATTCTGTAATGTCAATTCCAACATATCATCAAATTGCTGCAAAGGCATATATTTTGCTCAATTTTTAAGATTTTAAAGAATCAACAACATTAAAACAAACTTTATTAAATACATTAAAAATCTTGATAAAGAGTATTTAAACAATGGTTTTAAATACAAAACAGTAAAGTTTTACAATAGGCTGTCAATACACAAATACCTAAGCAATAATAAATATAATTATAAATTTGAAACTTCAAACTTCTCCAATTAATCTAACCAACAACTTATATTCTAGTCTTATACTAAAACAAATGATAGAATTACTGAATATATTTCCTATGACTTTAAATATATTAATTATATGATAACGATTATAAAGCATTAAATTCATTCAATTTGATCTCCAGTTACTGTGGGAGGGAACTGGAAAACAAATATAAATGAATTTGAAGCATAATAAATGTTTTATTATTCAATTAATTTATAATTTTAATAAAAATGTAACTTATATCAATGGAAACAAAATTTTAATACATATTTTCACAATTTTTAAAATTTCTAATGATTCTTTTCTGACAGCTTTTCTAACTTCAAACAATTTTAAAAATAAGATTTCCTAGAAGAGGGAAGGTTACTTTTAGAACCATGTCGGCGGGTCCCTGGCAGACAGATGTTACACCCACACATGTGCGCTGTCTCTAGGGAGCGGCAGACGCCACTTTGAATAAGTAAGTAAACAACCTCCTTCTATGTTATCTAATATTAATTTAATTATACAGTTTAATGGTCGAAGAGAAATCAATCCATAATGAAGTAAGGGTGAAATGGGATGTGGTATTTTCATCTGAAGAGCCCTGGTACCACAGATTTCTCTCTCCAATAGATTTTCCAATCTCCTTTTGTGTAATGTCCTGGTCTACCATTAGAGTTCCAAAAAATAATTTCTAATAAGCAAAGATTTAAAATATGTTTATCTATCCTTAACTAGGCAAAAACATTATATCATATTATTCTTACTCTTAGGAAAAAAAAATCTAAAATTATATAGGAAAAAAAAAATTATATAAAAAAATTACAAAAACTATTAATTAACTAAAAAAATAATAACACCCTTTCAATTCTCTACCTGTTTGAAATAAAAGTGTATGGTTCTTTCTTTATCTCTTTCCTCTCTTTTACTAAAAAATAAATATATAATCATTATAAATCTCTTCTTTATTCCTATTTATTTTAAGAGTATGTCTAAATGACGGGTAAAAGCCGATGCTGAAAGACGTTACGTTGTTAAATCTACAATATAACGCGGCTGATGATTGTAAAACGAAAATTGAAATTATACCGCGAATGTTTCTTTTATAAAAATCGAAATTTATTTTCAAAGAGAAATAGCGACATTTCTAACTTTGAGGATGAGGTATGGAAAGGTGAAACATGAAGAGTAATGGCGAACGGAAAAATAAAAAGTGTCCAGGGGCGGGAATCGAACCCACACCCTTCTGCTCACCGGGCAGGTGCCTTGTCCACTCGGCAACAGGGCACCTGCCCGGTAAGCAGAAGGGTGTGGGTTCGATTCCCGCACTGGACACTTTTTATTTTTCCGTTCGCCATTACTCTTCATGTTTCACCTTTCCATACCTCATCCTCAAAGTTAGAAATGTCGCTATTTCTCGTTGTTAAATCTTTTCTTGTTAAATTCTCTTTTTATTTTTCAATTTTCTTTTCTATCTAAAATAAAAACATATTATTCTAACATATAATTACTTTTATTACATTTTTCTCTCCTAAATAAGATATAAATATAATACATATAAACAACTTTTTAATCTCATCTAACTTGAACACAAAATAATTATCAAATTTTATCTTATATAATATATATATATATATATTAATAGTAATTTTTTTATATTAGGAAAATAGAGGAAAAATAAACTATTAAGAACAACAGATTTTGAATCAATTTTGAGTCAATTTTTTCACCCAGCCTATGACGCGTAACTGCCGATGCTTTGCTGGTGTTACTTTTTTTTTTTAATATAATCTAACTAATTATTTATTACAAAAAAATTAAAAAACAAACCTCACACATTTAAATTAAATTTAAAAAAAATTATTAATCTTAAAATTTTTCATAACTATACTATATATATATATATATATATATATATATATATATATATATATATATATATATATATATATATATATATATATATACGTGGAATATTAGGAAAGACAAACTTCAGGATGACGCAGCAATTTTTTAAGGCAGGAACAAACTAAGAGTGATAAAAAAATAGACAGACGATGAGCAAGTTTACAGAATAGCACAATATAATCATAAAAAATAGTACTCTGTTAATAAAATAATAAATACCTTGCTATATAGCTCCTTCCCTTTGGGAGCTGTGACCTACAGCCTGCAATTATTGTATTTACTGACATGGATCTGACGTGCTTCTGCCAAGGAATTTGTTGCTGGTTGGTTTGTAATTCCAAACGGAGTACAACAACAAATTATTTTTCGTAAAATCAACTTTTAATTACATTTATCTAATACAAATTATCAGAAGGGGTTAAATTGTTGTATACATGTTGACGTTCTTTTTGTTTATATCTGTCGTGGTCAAATAACATTTTAATATTATAAAATTTTAAAATATATGTGTTTGATATATTATATATAAATATTTATATTTTATACATGATTTATGATTTATATATTTAGAATGATGTTTAATTATTTTATTATATTATTATGACAACAAATAATGTGATATTAATGTTAATTTATATAATTTTAATAAAGTGTATTTTATGAGCATTATATACTGTATTTATTAGATGAATATTTTAATTTAATATTTGAATTAAATAGTTATTGAACAAATTAAAACTTATAATTAAAATATGAAAAGTTAATATTTAGTAGCCGCTACATCACTCCCTCTTCAGTAACTTTCGTTACGCTACACAATCCATAAATCGTACAGAGCGCCGAATTGTTCTTCCGAAACGGGATGTTCCGGTGTCGTTGGGAAGGAAAGGAGTTGACTTTTCGAACCATAGTACTTTTCCTGATGGTAAAGGATATTGTTGAAACTTGAGGTTAGTTTGTTGTTTTAAGGATATATCAATTCAGTGTCATTGATCAGTTTCAATGCTATTTCATTGTAATCAATCATTGACAGTTCTTCTATCCTTGATAATGTATCTGCTACAATATTGCTTTTTCCATCAACATGTTCAATATTTGTAGTGAATTGAGATATATATTGTAGATGCCTAAGTTGTCTTGGTGATGCTTTTTCATTTCTTTGAAGGAAGGCATACTTTAAAGGCTTATGATCAGTCTAAAATTTGAAATCTCTTCCTTCCAGCATGTGTTTGAAGTTTTTAACAGAAAGGTAGATTGCCAATAGTTCACGGTCATATGTGCTATAGGACTTCTGGGTATCATTTAATTTCTTGGAGTAAAAGGCTATGGGTTTCCAGCCATTCTCCTCATATTGTTGAAGGACCGCTTCGACTGCCCAATTCGAAGCGTCTGTGCTCAAAGACAGAGGTAATTCTGAATTGGGATATGTTAGCATTGCAACATTTGATAGGTCTTGTTTACATTTTTCAAACATAGATTTTGCTTCGGTAGTCCATGGGGAATTTTCCTTTTGTCCTTTTTTCTGACACCTTTCAGGAATTCATGTAATACAGCTTGTGTTTCGGCTGCATCTTTTAGGTATCTTCTATAGAAAATTATCATACCTACAAAGGTTCGCAAATCTTGTATTGTTTCAGGTAATTTTTTTTCAGGTATTCTTGAACTGCCTTGGTTTTAGAGGCTAAAGGCCTTGATCCTTCCTTTGTGATCAGATGTCCAAGGAATTCCACTTCTTGCACTCCAAACTTTGATTTATTGGCATTGATTCTAAGGCCATGCTTTGAAAGTCTTTCAAAGATCATGTCCAAGTGAGTTTCATGCTCTTCCTTGTTTGTGGAAGCTATTAAGATGTCACCAATGTATGGGAAGACAAAGTCTAGGCCAAATAGTACCTCATTGATAAATCTTTGGAAAGTCGCAGGGGCGTTTCTGAGTCCAAAACCCATTACATTGAATTCGAACAATCCAAATGATGTTATTACAGCTGTTTTCTCCTTGTCTTCTTCAGCTATTGGTATTTGGTAATATGCTTTAAAAAGGTCAATTCTGGAAAATAGTTTTTTTCCTCTCAATATATGATGAAAATCTTCTAATCTAGAAATGGGGTACCGGTCAGGAATGGTTATATCATTCAATCTACGATAGTCCCCACATGAGCGGTACGCACCATCTTTCTTTAACGTCATGTGTAATGGGCTTGCCCATTGAGATTTGGATGGACGAATAATGTCATTTTCCAGCATATATTGGAATTATTGCTTTGCTATTCTGAGGCGTTTTGTGTCCAATTGTCTTGCTTTTGAAAACACAGGAGGACCTGTTGTTGTGATTTGATGTTCGACTTTGTGCAATAATTTGGCTAGTACCAAATTGGGTGTACAAAGGTTTTTGTATTTAGAAATCTATCTGGTTATTGCATCAGTTTTGTTGGTCGTACTAACTATAAATTCTTCAGAAATGGCAGATATTTGTCCTTTTACGGCTAGTGTGGTATTTGCATCTATATTTTTTTTCCATGTATATCTATTAGTAGATTAAATTTATTTAGAAAGTCAGCACCCAAAATTCCCTTATCAATTTTTGCAATTATAAATGGAAATGTGAAATCTCTACGCAGGCCCAAATCAATTTCGAGCAATTTTGTACCATAGGTATCAATTTTGGTACCATTTGCAGCATAGAGCTTGAGTTCAGCTTGCTTTTTGTCTTCACTTTTTGCGGGTATCAAGCTGACATCAGCTCCACTGTCCACTAAGAAACGCAATCCCGTTTGTTTGTCCTGGACAAATAGGCGAGATTTGCGTTAATGAATAGCTTGTTCAGCAGCAGAGCTTACCGCTATTTCTGCTGCTGAATGGAGTTTTCCGATCTCCATTCACATGGTGGGATGCATTTTGAAGGGGTACATCTTTTACCAAATTTGAAGTGGTAATAACAACATTTTCCTTTAGGATTATATATTTTTCTTGATTGGCTACGATCGTTAAAACGACCACTAGAGCTACCACTCTCGCGGGTTCTGCCACGTTGATTTAGTGTAAGTTTCTCAATTTGTAGTTCAAGGGATTCTATTTTTTTTTTTAAGTTCGGTAGTGTTGTTATTAGATTTATTAGTGCAACAAATTTCAGCTGAAGGGTTTAGATCAGAAATTTTATCTGCCATTACAGCTAACTTATCCAAATCTTCCTCACTTACAACAATTATGCTTCTCATGGTTTGTGGAAGTTTTTCTAACCAGATGGTTTTCATCATATTGATAGAAATGTCATCCGGAGTCAATGAACGCAGTTTTTGCAGAAGCTGACTCGGCTTCATATCCCCTAGTTCTATTCCTGAAATGAGTTGTCTGATACGGGAAGTTTCACTTTCTTTAAAGAGATTCAAAAGTCTTTCTTTAGCAAAATAATATTTATTTTCCTCTGGCGAGGTTATTATGTCCCATAAGTTTTCAACATATTTAGGTTCTAACTGCGATATCAAATAGTTAAACCTAGTTTTTTCACTAGTTACATTATTAATGGAAAATTGAGCCTCAATATGATTAAACCGAATCTCAGGTTTTTCGCGCCAGGGGTATTTTAATGCTTACCTTGCAGGCTTCATGGTAGGGTTCCGTTCCGCCGCCGCTCGTTAGCTTCTCTTCGGTCGCAATCTTGAATTTCTGAAAATAATGTTTGTTCTTCTTGATTTAATTGTTCTTTTTAATTCCGGCTCACTAATTGTTGCTGGTTGGTTTGTAATTACATTTATCTAATACAAATTATCAGAAGGCGTTAAATTGTTGTATACATGTTGACGTTCTTTTTGTTTATATCTGTCGTGGTCAAATAACATTTTAACCCTTTAAGCACCATGCATGCCGATGTATCGGTTTGATGTCACTTTATGCTCTTTTTCTCCTTAAAAAAATCTAATGAAAATTAATTAATCGTAGTTTAAAGAGCATATTCTGTTGCATTGTGTTTCATATGTTTGTATGAATCATAAAAGAGTTTATTTTAAAAATAATTTAAAGAATAGTTTGATGTATTTTGAAGGCTAACAATAATCAGGAATGACCTTAAAAACGGCCGGCACCTAAAGGGTTAATATTATAAAATTTTAAAATATATGTGTTTGATATATTATATATAAATATTTATATTTTACATGATTTATGATTTATATTTAGAATGATGTTTAATTATTTTATTTTATTATTATGACAACAAATAATGTGATATTAATGTTAATTTATATAATTTTAATGAGGTATATTTTATGAGCAATATATACTGTATTTATAAGATGAATATTTTAATATAATATTTGAATTAAATATTTATTGAACAAATTAAAACTTATAATGAAAATATGAAAAGTTAATATTTAGTAGCCGCTACAAATTCATCGAAGTCTTAGATCTTTGCCCCTAGTTCCTTTGCGT